AAAACCATGGGAAGCCATTGTTTGGAGTTGGGCTTCTGTTCTAGGCTCCAACGGACCAGACTAAGAAAATCAAAATGGAGTCATTTGTACTGTGGTGCCACGTAATCAGCCCAAAGACTTTAAGCAAGCATGCAGGTCTTTAAGCAGGCTAGTTTTCCTTGAAGAGGAAGACTCTAGTCTAGCTGAGAAAGTGCCGTCTTTGCTTTAAATCTTATTTAAAAAATTACCTAGAATGAGTGAGATTTCAGTACTCATAGTTTTAAATCTGCTGGTTGGCTCCTGTGTCCCTCTGTCCTAAGCCCATCATTCTGCCGTTTCCCGAGGGAGCTCTCATCCTGTTTTACAGAACAGAGTTTGCCGCACTCGATGGTTTCACAGAAAAGCCAAATCGATCTGTATAATTTTATCTGTTGATAACCTCTCGTGTTACTCGATATTTCAAGTTTACGCTCTACTCTACTTCCTCTTCCGTCTCTGTCACTACCGAAGAGAGTGCGGCTCTCTTGCACAACCTCCTCCCTCACCCACACGGAAACACACTTCCTGCCCTCCAAAAACATCTATAACAGCAACAAGATTGCTTATTATTTACATTATTGTAATGCTATGGATATTATTTATATAGCCCGGCTCAGGATGTACTGTGGTTGCTTTTGCATGCCTTTTCTGTATGTTCTTTTTAAAGTTTCCCTGGAATGAATTAGCTAATTTATTTCTTACGTTGATATGTGTAGCTAACTTCTTGTGAACTTCCCCATGCATTCAGTTTCATCTTCTAGAAGAATTCTTCCCAGGAACCTTCTGATTTGGCCCTTTGCACAGGATCTCTTCGCTTGCTTCTCGCTGTCATCCATCTTGGAATTTCTCTTCACCGTGATGGGAGATGGGAGGGAGGTCTTCTTGCCTTTTTCTTGTGTTAGAATCCTTGCTTCCAGAACTCGCTGTGTGTTTATTGCCTTATTTTGGTAGAACACCCCATCAGGTAGTTTTCCAGAAGAGTGAAGAGGAGGCAGCAGTTCAGAACCTTGCATATATGAATGCTGCATTATTTATGATCCTCTGCCGGTATTGATATTCCGCGGAGTGTAGAATTTGAGTTAGGAATCTGTTGTCTTCTGATGGTGCTTCCTCCATTTCCTCGTTTTCAGTTTCTTCTAAACCCTCTGTTTCTGAGCTGTCGGTATTTCTTGTGGTGATCGCCATTCTGAATCTTGATCTTTTTATTATTACCTACTTTTAAGCTTTTTGAATCTTCTGTTTATTCCCATAATTTTGGTATTTTATAAGATGTGGCTCGACTTGGTTATATTTTATCTGGATATAACCTTTATTTTGGCAAAACTTCTCTAATTTTTTTTTTCTCTTCCCATTTTTCTAGAAGTCCTGAGTTTCACACTCTGGGCCTCCGAGTGAGCCCTCTAATGCTATTGTATTTTCTTCCCAATTCATTGTCTGCTCAGCTTTCTGTTTTATTTCTTGGGAGATTTTCTCAGCTTTAGTCTCCTGAGTTTTTAATTTCTACCCTCTTGATTTCCAGTGCCGACCCCCCTCCCCCGGGTACTTTATTGCTTATTTTGGCGGTGTCCCAACCTTGTGGCATACATGTTTGATAGTAAGATCTTTCTGGAATTCTTTGGTGATCCTAAACCTTCTTTAATTTTGTGTTTGGGGTTGGGCCTTGTTGGCATTGGGCTAAGTATAAGGTGATGTGTTTGTGGTGTTTCTGGGAGGAACACTCCTGTCCCTGGTTTTAGTAGTGCTGGTTGGGTCTGATTTGTAGCCAATGTTCTGGACCACATGGCACGGAAGAGCTGAGTGGTCCAAATTTGCTTGAATGTGTGTAGACCCTTTGACATTAGTTCCCACGCAGTATGATACCCCTGCCTCAGCTCTTCATTTCTCTTGGGATAGATCTTCTGTCTTAAGTTTCATGAAAACAAAAAACAAAACCAAAAACAAACAAACTCAAAAAATCTCCCAAACTTCAGTTTTTCCTAGAATTGAGAATGGCTGCCTACTAGACCTACACAGAAGAGGGCATATGTTCTATGTCTTACCAGACCTGTAAAAAGTTCCCTTGGGGTTGGGCATGGTGGTGCAGAGGTCTGCATGACTTACATAGAGAGTTTCAGGCCAACCCGAGGTACACAGTGAGACCCTGTCTCACCCCCTTCCCCTGAAAAACTAGTTCCTTCCTTTAGAGAGTTTAGAAAATGGCTCATTTGGTAAAGTCCTTGCCGTGAAAGTATCATGGCCTGAGTTCCATTCACCAAAATCCACATAAAAAGTACAGCAAGGCCGGGCGGTGGTGGCGCACGCCTTTAATCCCAGCACTCGGGAGGCAGAGCCAGGCGGATCTCTGTGAGTTCGAGGCCAGCCTGGGCTACCAAGTGAGTTCCAGGAAAGGCGCAAAGCTTACACAGAGAAACCCTGTCTCGAAAAACCAAAAAAAAAAAAAAAAAAAAAAGTACAGCAATGCACGCCTGTAATCCAGTGTTGGGGGAGACAGAGACAGGCAGATCTCTGAAGCTTGTTGGCTAGCCAGCTTAGTGTGCCAGCGAGCTCCAGGTCCAATGAGAGACACTATTTTGATTGAGAAAGATAACAGATGTTAATCTCTGGCCTCTATGTGTACCCATATCTGTAGCCAGAAGTTTCTGTCTCACCCGGTCCTACAGCCTTTCAGTCCCAAATTAACACATAGAGAGGCTTATATTAATTACAAACTGTTTGGTCTGTGGCTCAGGCTCATTACTAACTAGCTCTTAACTCAGCCCATTCCTATTAATCTATGTTTTGCCGTGTGGCTTCGTGGCATTACCTGTTCTCTTACATCTTGCTTCTCCTGGTGGCCACATGCAGCATCTGCCTGACCCTGCCTTTTTTCCTTTTTTCTCCCCTCTCTCTCTCTCTCTCTCTCTCTCTCTCTCTCTCTCTCTCTCTCTCCCCGATTTCCCTCCTGGTTCCATCCTGCTATGCCATAGGCCAATGCAGCTTTATTTATTAACCAATGGGAGCAACACATATTCACAGCATACAGAAAGACATCCCATAGCATGTATCCATATATGCACACATTCACACACACACACACACACACACACACACACACACACACACACACACACACACTTGCTTCAAGTTCTTCTTTACCACCACTTCTAGGGCTCCTGAATTTGGTGACTCAATTTTTACACTATCTAGAGGTATAAAATGATTTGTTTCCAGGTGCCTGTCTGTTCTTCCCTCTGTGAGACCTAGCATGTACTTGTCTTCTACTTTCTAGAATTTTTTAAAATATCTTTTTCTGTTTTCTACTTTTGAGTGTTAATTTCTTTTTAAATTTTTTATTTATTTCTAAACTTTATTGTTATTATTTCTTAAATTATGTGCTTATGTATGTATGTCGGGGGGTATGTGCATGTGAGTGCAGGTGACTGTGGAGACCAGAAGAGGGCATTGGATTCCCTGGAACCACAAAATGGGTGCTTGGGAACCAAATCTGGGTCATCTTTGAGAATAGTACAAGCTCTTAACTGCTAAGCTAACTTTTCAGTCCCTCAGAGTGTTAATTTCTTAAAAACAACAAGTAAATAAAATAGCTATTTTTGATGGACTTCCAGGAAGGAAGTGGGTGTATTCAGCCCTCCATCTTTAGCTGGACATTTCCATGAGGAGAAATATGCTTCCTTTATACCCTACAAAGAACAATGGCTTTTGTTGGCCAGAATTTTCCATTGACATATGAATTATTACAAGGCAATGAATTTGTGTGTTGTGGAATGGTGGGAAGAGTCCTTCATTTGGAACCAAGAGAGATTTGTTTTTCATTTTCTGGTCTTGGTCTGTGTTACTTTGGGCAAGATGCTAGCTTTTTAATTTGTGAGGTGAAGGGGATGATGGGTAAGATTCCTTTTAGCTCACATGGTATGATTCTGTATCCCAATAAGTTCTGTTTCTCAATAAATCAGGTAGGGTGATTCCCCCCTCATCCTGAAGTCATTAAAGAGACAGTTTTCTAATTTCTGGTGTTGGGAACTTTTGCTTCTAGAACACACTCTAGCTGTCCTCTAGTGCCTTCCAAAAGTCTGCGTACTGTTTGATAACAGTAGAGTTGCTCCATGGATCAGAACTACATACACTGTATGCTTGTGTTTAGAGTCTAACTGGTTTCTCCCTGGTAACCTTTCCTAAGTAGCCATTTTCTTCCTTTCCTGAAAATTTCTTATAAAAAGATTTCTAAAGAAGTAGAATTTGCATACCAATTGTTTCTCAGGAAAACAAAATAGAGTACCCCTCTCATCTATCTATCTCATCTGTATCTATTTCTGTATCATCTATCTCTATCTAGCTCTATCTATTTTTGAGACAGGATATTATTATATAGGCTAGTCTTGTGATCCAGGTTGTATTTGTTTATCAAGAGGCTGCTATAAGCACCAAGAGTGGTTAAGAAAAAAAAAGGCACAAGGCTTCAGGCTTTTCTTTCAAGATAGTGGCTCACAGTTCTACCTACACATAGAATTATGATGTCCAGGCCCTACTCCAGACCTAGAAAATATTAGAGGAAAATGGAAGCAGAACCTAGGTATCTGAATTAAAAATTGATTTTGGTGATTCTAATGTACACCTTCGTAGATTAATAGCTAGGTGAGAAGTTAAGCTTTATGCATTGTTGTAGACATGGAAGAATATGATTAACTTTATGATGAATGAGAGAGATTATGGGTATAGACACTGGAAGATTTCCATTAACTAGAGACACAAGGAAGGGTTGCATCAAAGGGATGAGTTCTGAGTTGATGGAGTTTTCATAGACGGAGAGAGAGGAGTTGGGAGAGTGCTGTAGATCAGGGAATGAATACTGGGGGCGGGGGGGCTGCTGTTTTGATCTGTGTTTGGAATTCCTGGGGAAGAGTTGAAGTGAAAATTGGGTGTCAGATTGCAACTGGATTGTGAACATCTTCAGAGTCAGACTAAGTGTTGGCTTTATCCTGCAGGTGTTGGGGGACCCTAAGGATGTCTGATGAATGAAATGACCCAATGGAACTTTGAAGACTGATTCAACAGGAAGAAGGGGTATGTAGTTAGAATCAAATGAGGCAAGAATGGTAATGGAAGACCAGTTGGGAAGGTGCTGCTATTGTTCAGCTGTGAGATTAGGATGCTCTGAGCTAGGGGAATGACAGTGGAGTTAAATATAACTGTCTTAGTTAGGGTTTTATTGCTGTGAAGAGACACCATGACCACAGCAACTCTCATAAAGGAAAAACATTTAATTGGGGCTGGCTTACAGTTTCAGAGGTTTAGTCCATTATCACCATGATGGGAAGCATGGCAGCGTGCAGTCAGACATGGTGCTGGAGAAGGATCTGAGAGTTCTACATCCAGATTGGCAGACAGCAGGAAGTGAACTGAGACACACTTCTTCCAACAATGCCACATCTACTTTACCAAGGCCACACCTAATAGTGCCACTCCTTATGAACCTATGGGGGCCATTTCTATTCAAACCACCATAATAACCACAACAGATATTTGTATAGCAGTTGCACAGTAAGTTTATTATCTACATTTCTTTTAAACCTCACTAATCTTGTATTCCCAAGCATACCTTCTAAATGAAGGGGTGGATGTTTAGAGGTTATGTTGTTGAAGAAGCCCTCTTAAAAGTCGGAGGAGCCCAAGTGGTTGATGGTCATCGAGTAAGAGAGAATAGTTACTGTAGAGCACTGAAGTTATCAGGTTGGAAGGAGGCATGGTGGAATTCCTTAGCAGTTCAATATCTGTCACTGGCCACAGTATCAAGTAGCCTCTGAATGTGCTTCAAGAGACTCCTTTATTTCTGTGCTTTGATATGCAATCACTTCTTCAAAGGGCATGGAGGAGACAAGGGAAGGAAAGCTGCCCTTCATTCAGCTTGCCTCAGGGAAGAATCACAGGCCTCTTCTGAGTACCTTTGTGTTCTCAAATGGTTGAGAATTATTAAATTGGGTTGAATTTTTCCTCCCTCCCTCCCTCTCTCCCTCCCTCCCTCCCTCCCTCCCTTCCTTCCTTTCTTCCTCAAACTTCCTCTTCTCCTCTCCTCTCCTCCCCTCTCCTCCCCTCCCCTCCCCTCCCCTCTCCTCCCCTCCCCTCTCCTCTCCTTTCCTCTCCTCTCCTCTCCTCTCCTCTCCTCTCCTCTCCTCTCCTCTCCTCTCCCCCTTCTCCTCTCCCTTACCCTCCTCTCTCTCCCTCTCTTCTTTTCTTTCTGCATACCATGGTGGTCAGGAGACAAATTACAGGAGTTGTTTCTCCTCTTTCCACCATGGGGGTTCTGGGGATTGAACTCAGGCCATCAGGTTTGGAGCCATCTTGCCAGCTCTTGTTTAAGATTTAAGGCTCTAGGTACAGGACTGAGGATCTTCATATCCAGGTAGGTTGTCCTGAGGAGGGTTAACTCTGACTGGGTGGGCTTCTTTTCTCTTGAGGTCTGGATAGGAGCCATATATGGAGCAAGGTAATATAGATAACAAGGGACATCCCTGTAGCAACAGCTTCCCTGTGACACTACTCTGATACCACATCAAGATGACATCCTTCCTGAGTTAGAGTGTGAATTGTATCCACTACCGTGCTCATTCATTGTTCAAATCAATTATGCTGTGTGGTCATGTGTTTCGAATCCCAAGATCTTGAGGCCTAAACCTCTACCTTGCCGTCTGAGTTATTTATTCTCGGAAGTCAAATAGCAGAATGTGTTAGAGAGCTGAGTGATACTGGGAGAGACAAAGGCATGCATCATCATCATCATCATCATCATCATCATCATCATGGGAAATCTTGATTAGTGTTTCCTAGGAAATGGCTGAGCAGGATGGAGGCTGAGCTAAGAGAGGACGAGCTTTTTGCCTTGGACACCCTAGTCTGGACATCCATCCTAGCTAGAGGGTGTTGTAATTTAAAAGTGCAACAGCATTAGAAAATTAACGCCATAGTCTGACTGTTTATTTTCTTACTTTAGAGTCCTGGGATCTTCAATGGCAGGAGAAAGAGCAACCAGAAGACCGAGATGAATTTTAACACTATCCTAGAAGAGATTCTTATTAAGAGATCCCAGCAGAAAAAGAAGACATCACCATTAAACTACAAAGAGAGACTTTTTGTGCTCACCAAATCTGTGTTAACCTACTATGAGGGTCGAGCGGAGGTAGGAGACAATCTTCTCTGCAGTGTTCAGTGTTGATACCATTGAGTAGGTGATGCTCCATTGAGTTAATGAACTTCAGGTTACGGTTTGTTGGCATTTGGATTTGAAAGGTAAAATTTAGCATGTGATAAAACTTGGCACAAGTCTGTCAGTATAGGTTAAGTTATATAGCTATCCGTTTGGTGTCAGGCTTTTGAACTAATTAATCTGCCAGAGAAAATACATCTCTGTTTGTTATAGGTCTTTCTAGAATTTATTAGGTATACTGAACACATGGCTTTTCCCCACAAGCCCCACCATATTATGTGTCAGAGCCTAAGCTGCTTTGGGTGAACATTTCTTCATTACTTGAAGCTGATGAGTTATTTGGTGAGCCATTTATTGAAGTTGATGGCAGAGGAATTCTTCAACTCTTGATGCTGAGCGTCTACCACAGTGTTCTTTGCTGGAGGCAGGGAGGTTGAAGAAGCAGGGGTCCAGTGAGCTCCTGTGTGGGATGTTGAGGTACAATGAGGAAGGGAGGGATTTGGGTTAGACAGCTTCTAGCTTTCCACAAGAAATGTGACTGAGTGACTCTCTCTGGCCCAATTTAAAATCTCGCCATGGTATTTTCTACTCCTGCCATAGTCTTCTCTGCTAGAAATAATTTTGGGTTGTAGAGAATGGCTGGGAACTGGATTTCTCTTGACAACATACTATAGCAAATGTGATCATGGTGAATGTCTGGTGGTCCTGGTATCTGGGCTCAATTGTGCCTATTCTTGGGGCATTTTTCTCAGATGTTGATTTCCTTGTTTTGTTATCGTTTTCTTATTCTGTGTGTTGGTTCCCTTCATTTATACAGAATGCCATTGTTTTTCCTGAACAATCTCAGCTCTGTTATTTCTACTGTGGCGTATTGCCATGACCTGTGCTGTTCTTTGGGCTCATGCACTGTCGAACCATATTCCCTTAACTCTAACCTCCCCCAAATGCTGCATACCAAAGCTTCAAAACTCTTACTTGTAAAACTAGAGCCGTGGTGAGACCATGCTCACTCTTTATTCCCTTTGAACACATATATATGTGTGCCCAGAACTGTTAATGTGGCTAGTTACATCGGCTACCTTTGTCCTATTGAGAAATGTCATATTTATGATATGTATGCTATATTTTCTTTGTTGTCCAAGAAGTTCAGAAACCCAATAGGGTTTCAGATAAAAATTGTTACTAGAAATAAGGATTATTTTAAAATTGTAAGTCAAGTTTTAGGGAAACATTAGTAAGTTTTTGCTGTATGGCAATGATTTGTTATAACTTGAACTTAATATAGTTAGTCCAGAAGAAGACTAGAAATACATCAATGAGAGTGGTAAAAGGTGGCACATTATTAACCCCAAACCTGCAGAAACTTACATTGTCAACTTAGAAATACGGATTGATGCTATTAAGACACAACACAGTGAGGGCAGAGAGATGGCTCAGCGGTTAAGAGCACTGACAGCTCTTTCAGAAAACCTGTGTTTGATTCTCTGCATCTGTGGATGCTCACAGCCAGCTGTTACTCTAGCTCCAGGGAGTCTGGTGCCCTGTTCTGGCTTCTGCAGGAGCCAGGCATGTATGAGGTGCACAGATATACATACAGGAAAAACACCATACACATGAAGAGAAAGTACAGTGCAGTGGTCAACTCACTCTGAAGATGTCTAGTATATAGTTGGCCCTTAATGTCTGTGAAGGGAGTGGTTCTTCTCACCATATGCTCAAATCTATTACATAAAATAGTGCAGCATTTGCACATAACCTGTGCACATCCTCTTATGTGTTTTAAATTACCTATATATTGCTTATAATACCAGATACAATATTGATGCTATAAAAATACTCATTCTATATTCCTTAGGAAATAACAACATGAGAAAAGTCTGTATCTGTTCAAACAGATGCAATTTTCCCTCCAGATATTTTCCAGAGTTTATTGATTCTGTGGACTCAGAACCTGTAGCTATGGAAGGCTAATTGTACAAAGTTAAAAGTGCCCTGACTGTTTAAGCAGAATGAAAAGACAGAGAGCCCTTCTTATGTCAGATCCCAGTCTACTCTCTGAACGTGCAGTGGTTTCAGTCATTGTGAGAACCAGACAGAGCAGAATGAGGTGGTTGTCCAACATGTAGAAATCCGCCTTCTAACCCTTATTCAGAATCCATGTCTTTTCTAGCTGTTACTCACTGGCCCCATGTACCAAGCCGTTGACTAGATCCCCACCCCTAAACAAACTACTAATTGCTTATATTGAATTATTTGGAATTTAAAGAAAAGAATCAGAATTCTTGAAATAACTACTAACAATACTAGGAAGGCTTCCAGGTGACACTTCTCAGCCCGTTTTCTAGAAAATTCCAGAAATACTTCACAGCGAGTTACTTCCCTGTTTTGGGGGGGGGGGGGGCATGTGTTTGGTGCCTGTTTGCAGCGGATGAATCTTCTGCTTTTTTGTCTCTGTTCTTAGAATCACTATTCAAAAAGCGTAACGAGGGAGTGGGGAGAGCCCACAAGAATGTTGAGTTAGAAAGTAAGATTCTAGAATTGGGCTGGGAAAACCATTGGAATCACTTGAGACATTTAAATTATCTATAGTTCTTCAGTTTTCAAATGAAAGCCAGTGAAGAGGCTGTCTGATGCTTCATTAGGCCCCATTCGCGGTCCCCTCATGGCCATTGGATCCTTTGTGATGGCCACACTTTCTTCCGTCTCTGCATCCAACTCCTACAACATGGTAGCAAAAGTTTTTCCTGAAGCGGGTCCTGCTAATTTCACTTATTGTGCTTTTCAAAGTGTCCTGAGGAGTTATGTTTTATAGAGATCATCAGAAATCTAGTTAAACTGTCTCCTGGAAGTCTCACATTGAGAAACTACATTGGGCTGCTGATTTCTTCGGTTTGCCTTTTCTCTCATTTGGCAGCTAATTCGTTCACGTCTGCGCATGTTCCAGTGACCTGGGAAACAAAGATCATGACAGTTTATGTTACACAATCTTACAATAACACAGCCCGTGGAGGTTTGTAAGTGATGCTGCTTTCTACTTAGAGAGCTAAATGGTAGATGGAATAGGCCACTTGGCATTCCTGGGGAGGCTCCCTGGGACATGGGCATGGGAGTCAGGAAAGGGCAAGACTAGAGTTTATTCAAGAAAAAATGTTGAGATGTTGAATAAAGGAAACCAAGTAGTTTGTAAATTTTGCAGCAATTGTTAGCTAAGAAAGCGGGAACTTTAGATTGAACAGTGGTGCTCTTTGGCTGGTTTGCTGTCTCCAATACTGTGTAGCACAGCATAGACGCTACAGGTAGTTTATAAAGTCAAAGGGGATTGAACAGCATGACAGGTCCCCTGTAGCAAGCTTTCTTATCAGACTGTCTTTGGATCACTAGCCCCCAAATAACAACACGGAGATTTATTATTAATTGTGAAAGTTTCTTTAGCTTAGGCTTGTTTCCAACTAGCTCTTATAACTTAACTCATATTTTTTAAAATCTCTGTTCTTCCATGTGGCTTGGTTACTTCTCCTCAGTACACCACGCCCAACTTGCTCCAAGTCAGCTGGTGAAAATCACACCTCTATATTCCTCCTCCTCTTCCTCCCTCTCTCTGGAAATCCCGCCTATCCTCTCCTGCCTAGCTATTGGCCATTCAGGTCTTTATTAAACCAATCAGAAGCTTCCTTAGGCAAAGACACATCTATACATTGTACACAAATATTCTGCAGCAGTCCCCCACTCCACCTCCATGCCTAGAATCACAATGAAGACTTCCTAACCATGCTGGATAGTTTTGTGTCAACTTGACACAAGTTAAAGTCATTTGAGAGGAGGGAACCCCTTAAGAAGATGCCTCCATAAAATCAGGCTGAAGACAAGCCTGTAGGACATTTCTTAATTAGTGATTGATGGAGGAGGGCCCAGCCCATTGTGGGTGGTGCCACCCCTGGGTTGGTAGTCCTGGGTTCTATAAGAAGGCAGGCTGAGAAAGTCATGAAGAAGCAAGCAAGCAAGCAGCACCCCTCCATGGCCTCTGCATCAGCTCCTGCCTCCAGGTTCCTGCCCTGTTTGAGCTCCTATCTTGCCTTCCTTAAATGATGAACTACAATGTGGATATGTAAGCCAAATAAGCCCGTTCTTCCCCAACTTACTTTTGGTCATCACAGTAATAGTAAGCCTAATTAAGACACTAACGAAGAACACAGTCAGCTACAAGTCATCACAGTGGAAGAACACAAAACAGAATCAAAGTCACCAGGTACCAGGGTCTGGTACAAATAATGAAGGATGTGCATGGTCCTCTCGCACTTGTGATAATTAACATGTCTGTGAGGGAAGATTACTATAGATTCAGTACCCACGGTGTTTGTCTTAGTGTATAACAAAATTACAGGTGCTAGAAAGAAAGGAAGTGTTTAGCACAAATCATGCTCATGTTTGGTTGAGGCACAGTGAGCCACCACCACCAGCTTTAGAAATGTCCAAGTTGCCAGGCACTAGCCAATGGCCAACTTTATGAGCAGGTTTTCCTAGTATAGTGTTCTCAGGCACACGGTTATAAAAATGGTGTGACATTTGGAACACTAACTGTGTGCTGGCCACAGTGCTAAGTTATACACATAAGGCTTATTTGGTTTCATTTCAGAATGAGGAACCAAGGCAAAGACAGATAAAAAACGTTGCATAAGGTGTGCCATACTAGAAGTTGCACATTCTTACAAGAAATTGCAGGGCTGTTTCTTCAAAATCTATCTTTGAAACCATCTTACTACTCCAGGAGAAATTAGGGGAAAGAAAGAAAGAAAAAGGAGAGAAAGGAGGAAAAAGGAAGAAAGAAAAGAAAGAAAGAAAGAAAGAAAGAAAGAAAGAAAGAAAGAAGATATCTCTGTATCTCTGTAGTACAGATACAATTTTACTTTAGAGGATATTTTACTATTTTCAGTTACAACTGTTTGGAATTTTCCTTGTATTGAAAAAAAGAGATT